TATACTTTATAATTATTCGAATAGTTATGAAAATATATATTATTTTTTTACTTTTCCAGTAAAATTTTAATTATTTTAAAATTTTAATCTTTTCAAAATTTTATTTATATATAATTATTTAAAAAATTTAATTATTTTTATAACTTTAAATTAATCAAATTACATCATCATTCAGACTTTTAATTGTTTTCCATATTTTATGATTGGAGTTTATATCGTTCAGATAAATGTACCTTAAATTAATCAAATTACATCATCATTCACACTTTTAATTGTGCCCGATGGGATTGCCACTGCGGGAATATCGATTTTTCATTCTTCGTTTTAAATATTCTTTAAGTTTTTCTCTATAATGTTTGTTGTTGGAGATGTTAGAGTGATCCGTTTTTGCATGTCATTGCCTCAATTGTTCATTTTTTTTCTTATCAGACTATCATTAGTCGATTATTATTATATTTAATTTATGATAGTCATAAATGAGTGATCCGTTTTGTCATGTCATTGCCTCAATTGTTCATTTTTTTTCTTATCAGACTATCATTAGTCGATTATTATTATATTTAATTTATGATAGTCATAAATATATTTGTTTAATATATATTTGGTGAGACGTTGTTAATGATGTTTTCGACAAATGAATATATCATAGTCCTATTTTTTTTTTTAAAAAGATAATAAAAATAATTAAAGTAAGGGTAAACTATAGAAATGTCACTTTTGTTTGAATTTTATAAAAGTTTTCTCATTGAATTAAAAAAAAAAAGATTTAGTCACTTTTGTTTCGTTTTAATTAAGATGTGGTCATTGAAGGTTAACGACCATTAACCTTTTAACGGTTTGCTAACGTGATACGGTAAATATATAAAATTAAAATTACATTATTTTTACATATATAATATGTAGATTAAGTTTTGGTCACTTTCCTTTTAAAAAACATAAGTTTTGGTCACTTACGTTATTATTTTATTAAGTTTTGGTCACTTATGTTATCATTTTATTAAGTTTTGGTCACTTATGTTATCGTTTTATTAAGTTTGTCACTTATGTTATTAATTTATTAAGTTTTGGCCACATACGTCATCTTTTTATTAAGTTTGGCCACTTGGATTTGATGATGTGGCCTGTTAGTAAAATAGTTTAATTTTTATTTTAACCCCTACACTTTAGACAAAATACTGATTATGGGTGTTTTTGTAAATTCAAATTAGTTTAAGGACAATATTTTAATTTATCCATTTTTTAATATTTTTTCTTTCCAACCCCTAATATTGCTCTCTCTCCCCGCTTCTTCTTCAGACATCTCTGCTCCATTGCTCTATTTGCCTTCTTTCAATTTCTTTCAATGACTCATGTTGCATTTCAAGAACAATGAAAGATTTCCAACTTCTTATAACAAATAATAACACCACAAGTTCAGAGAAAAATGAAAGGGTATGCATCTAAAAATAAAATGAAGTTGGATAATCTTAGTTATACAAACTAAAATTGAATTTCCAAAGATTGAGATTGTAAAATGCCAAATCTAACTAGGAACGAGAAGACAAATCAATGGATCCAAATAACCCGATAACCAAATATCACTATTCGTGGTGATTTCCCTTGAGAAAACATCTTCGGTGAAACATAATCAATGGATCCAAACAACCTGATAATCGGATGAGTGAAATCATCCACTGAACTCAATCCAAAATCCATGATCTTCAACATCAAATCTTTGTCTTTGCTCAAGAACAAACAATTTTTCGATTCTAGATCCCTATGAATCATTGTTAACTCTTATGGTCTGCCTCAAGGTGGTGGCGTCGTCGTGGTGTTGAACCTTTTTAGAGTTTTAATGGCGAATTCTCTACATTTTTCATGATCTTTATTACTTCTTTTTATACATTCTTCTTACAAGTGAGAACCCACCTAATTTGACTTCAAATAATTACAACTAATAATTATAAACAACAAGGCTATTAAAATGGAGAGAGATGTTTGAAGAAAAAGTGGGGAGATGATGATAAATATTGGGGGTTGGTGGAGAAAAAACATTAAAAATAGGTAAATTGTAATATTGTCCCTAAACTAATTTGAATTTACAAAAAGACTCATAATTAGTATTTTATCTAAAATTTAGGCGTTAAAATAAAAATTAAACCATTTTACTAATGGGTCACGTTATCAAACTAAAGACATTCAACATCTAAGTGACCAAAACTTAATAAAACGACAACGTAAGTGACCAAAACTTAATAAAATAATAATGTAAATGACCAAAACTTAATACATGTATTATTTAGTTGGAAATGATATAATTTTAATTTTATATATTTACCATGCCATGTCAGCTAAACCGTTATAGGTTTAACAGTCGTTAACATTCAGTGGCCACATCTTAATTAAAATGAAACGAAAGTGAATGTCAGCTAAACGTTATAGGTTTAACAGTCGTTAACATTCAGTGGCCACATCTTAATTAAAATGAAACGAAAGTGACCAAATCTTATGCTTTTTGAATTCAATGAGAAAAAGTTTATAAAACTCAAACGAAAGTGACAATTTCTATAGTTTAGCCTTAAAGTAAAAGCATATGGTTAAGATGGATGTACGTATGGGTGGGATGAATAAAATATAGGGTAAACTACGCCAATGGTCACCAATAGTTGGGTTAGTGTTCATTTTCACCACAGATATTTCACAAATCAATCACTAATGTTATCGTTTGTTACAAAATGGTCACTCGATGTTAACAACCGTTACCACGTTACCGAAAACACAGCTGGGGTGTTAATTGCTTACATGAATTGGGGTTGACTGAGTTGACCGCCATGTTAGAGAGCTAAAAGCCTTCAACAGTCCCTTTTCTCCTTTAAAAAACCAAATCCCTAAATTAAACTTAGGGTTTTTCATTCCTATATCTTTGACCCAAAATTTTTTTGTCTTAAAGTTGTAAGAGAAATCCCGTGAAGATGAAAAACTCCATGGATGTATCGTTTTACAATCTCCTGTTTTTGTCCCAAAATTTACATTCCACCAAAACTTATATTTGCATTCCTATCTTTTTGCCCCAGAATTTTTTTCTGAAAGTTTCAATAATGGATACTCATCATCACCAACATGAAGAAGAATAATAAGAAGAAGAAAGCAAGTTAAAAGAGGAAATAAAAGAAGGGTCATCATCATCAGTACTATCCCCTGTTTCAACTTCTTCTCATGAATTCTCCTTCATTATATATTTCTGTTCATCTTCTGATTTAATATATGGTTGTAAATTTGAAACTCCATCTTTGATCGCTACTGATATGTCTTCGACCGAAGACATTTTCTTCCATGGACATTTGCTTCCCTTTCATCTCCTTCCTCACCTCACTTTCCCCCCACGTTTATCAAGAAGTTCATTGGACAACTTCAACGTTCCCAGGAGAGAATTTTTTGATGATCCAAAAACTGTAAAACACATTAGAAAAAGTGACATAAATCTTTAAAAGCACGAAAGGGTCAGCCACAGTTGCCATCATCAAAGCCACGCTATTGAAGCAAAAGTGAAGAACAAGTCAAAGTCTTTCTCTTTATTTAGTTTGAAAACACAATAGAAAGATGGCCTCAGCGTTAGCGAAACAGAAGAGAAAGAGAATCACAAGAAAAAGATTAGATTCGATGTGAGTCAAGCGTTGAAGAGGTACATGAGAATGATTAGTCCATTTTTGTTCTTCAAAAGAAAGAAAGAGAATCTCAATCTCTATAGCCAACATTACTCGTTTTCTGTGATTCGAGTACGAGGAACAAAAAACCAGGGTGGAGAGGAAGGAGGAGATGAGATTATTATTCAGCTCCTTCATCGATGAAAACGTCACCTTCACATGGTGGTCTTCTTGTTTTCCAATGGTTGTCCAACGTGGCGGTCAAAAGTCCATGTAAGTAGGTAACGTCCTAGCTGTGTCTTCCGTCACGCTTGTTAACTGTTGTTAACGTTGAGTGACCATTTTGTAACAAACGATAATATTAGTGATCGATTTGTGACTTTTGAAAGATCAATGGTGAAAACGAACACAGACCCAAACATTAGTGACTGACGGTGTAGTTTACTCTAAAATATAAATGGTAGAAAATGCGACAAAAAAATTCGAGGAACACAACAGTTTGGCCGGCAAAACCAAACATATGCTTCCTCCACCACAATTAGACGACCAAAACATACAAAATACATATTGCCCCACCTTCACCACGTGCGCTCCCATTACTCTTTGTTTTATTGGAATGTTTTAGGGTGACATTCTTCGCATTCCAAATTTACAACACTATTAGTTTTGACTAAATTTATTTTTCCTAAACCGTGTGCGAAAAGATCGGGAAAATCTCTCTCCAATGATTATCTTAAATTTCAAAAATAATTGGACAAGATGTCCTCAAACTATGATTCTTATTTTAAATTGGTCTCTAAACTTTAGTTTGAGGATTGATATAGAAAATTTTAAAGTTCATGAACCAACTTAGAATGGGATCTTAGTTTGGGGATTGATAAAAAAAATTAAAGTTTAGGGACCAATTTAAAATAAAGTCCATAGTTTGGGACATATCGTAAAATCATCTCTAAATTTTATCTTAATTTAATTAAAAATAAAGGAGATAATTGATAAACTGAAAAAATTTTAATCGATTAAAATTTGATTTATAAATTCTCTCTTAAACACAATGTCTCACGAAAGGAGAAAATTCAATCTGATTAGATTGTAAGTAATTAAAGCTTTGATATGGTTAGCCGGATGACAATAAATTTTCAATGCAGAAACGCATAAAACATTTAATTAATCACTAAATATATAATCTTTTGTTAGAAAACCCTCAAATTGGTTAAAAAAGAAAATACCGCGGCGCCAAGGGCGAGACGCCTTTGATGCCAAAACTGTGTTCAACACTGCCTTTTTGCGTAAAACCCAAGGCAAGGTGACCGAAACCGCGTTTGGCTTGCTCTATATAAATAAAACAGCCATAGCTGTTTTGTAAACACACTTATACTCTTCTTCCAAATGGACATTTCCAATTCCATGAATCTCAACACAAGCACATTAACGATGGCGGGAATGAGGCAGAAGCCATACAAGGTTCAAGTCATATCCTGCAAGGGAAGTGCCGATGACTCATGCATGCCAAGAGGAAACGCCAGCTTCTATCAAGTGCTTCGCCTGAATCAAGCTGTGGGGTTGGATGAAATCAAAAAGGCTTATAGAAGCTTGGTTCTTCGATACCACCCAGACGTTTGTGCTTCTTCTTCCAAAGACGAATCCACAAAGCGATTCCTCGAGCTCCAAATGGCTTACGAGACGCTTTCCGATCCTGTTTCTCGTCAAATGTACGATTACCAGTTGAGTTTTGAGAATTGTTTGATCGGAGAAAGAAGATCGAAATTTCCTAGACATATCTGGGAAAAACAACTCCATGGATTAAAGAAACGATCTGATGCTAGGATGAATAACATGTATAGGTAGAGATATTATAAATACCTGTGTTGTTCATATAAACAAACATTATTTGTTAATCTTCATTCATTTTCAGCATGTATTGTTTTGTTTTTCATATAATTGATTGTAAATGAAAAACGCTGTGTATTTCATGGTACCCATACTTTTAATCTAACGTTATTTTATTACCATATATTACCTTTTCCATAACTGAAATAAAGGCTAAAACTACATGGAGATTGGAGAAAGAAATTTACGGTTTGACGGAATTGTAATTCAGTGGGAGCTTACAGAATAATGAATTTCAAAGGTTGATGCATCGTATAAAAGAAATAGTAGCGGCGTGTACACAACAGCATGGTTACAGCCACACATGGAATCAATACCACAGAAACACATAACAGTTTGAAAGCTTAGGTTGAGACAACCACACATGGAAACTAATCCACTGAAATACGTAACAGTAGAAAGCCAACACACAGTTCACGTTAGGAAGCACATCTACCGTACCATTTACTCCTCCATAAGTATTCACCGTTAAACTAATTTGTTATCCTTGCGTTTAAAACAAAGGTAAAATATACGAATAGCCTTTGGATTGTAAGATATTTAATTGAGTCTCTCAATTATTAAAAATTATAAAATAGTCTAACTATAGAACGTTATTTTATCGAGTCTCCGATTATTAAAAATTACAAAAATGATCACTCGACTATTCATATGTTTCAAACTCCTCTTTTTTATGTTAAAAGATTAACAATCATCTCAATTGGAAGCTAAAAATTTGACAATCGTCTCAGCTGACGTTTACATCTCCAACGGTTCTAGGATCAGATTTTATAATATCTCAATCAACATATTAACATCTAACTCAGACGGTTGCCAATTTCTTAACGAAAAATGATGGATTTAAAATATATGAATACTCATATGATCATTTTGTAACTTTTAATAGTGTAAAGACTTAACAAAACAGCGCCCTATAGTTGACGATCATTTTGTAACTTTTAATAGTTGAGAGACTCACCAAAGCAGTGCCCTATAATCAAGAGATTGTTTGTATAATTTACCCTTAAAATAATTATATTTATTATTGCTAGCTAATTAAAAATAAGGTAAATTATGCATTTAGTACCTAAACTATCAATTTTGATATGTTTTAGTACCTAAACTTACAATTTTTTCAAAACTATACCTAACGTTTAGTTTTTATTTCATTTTAGTACCCGTCGTAAAAAACTTAACGTGTTTAATACCTAAACTATCAATTTTGGTTGGTTTTAGTACCTAAGCTTTCATTTTTTTTTTCAAAACTTAACGTTAAACTTTGAATAGTGGTACTAAAATGAAACAAAAACTAAACTTTAGGTATGATTTTAAAAAAATTGAAAGATAAGGGACTAAAATGGACCAAAACTGATAATTTATGTACTAAATGCATAATTTACTCTTAAAACATCACCCACTAAAACCAATGAAATTCAAAATAGTTCTATTGATGTAGTGGAATCAGAAAAGGAAAAGAAAACATTACAATTTTTCTGTGAAAGACGATTATGGATTTCTAATGTCATTTCAAGTATCCAATACGTTAGATGAGCACGCGTTAAATACATCGAAGAGATTTTTAGAATGTATTGAAGACGGTGATTAATCTTTACACGCGTACCATGATTATACAAGTGACGAGCGAAGATAACTAAGAATTGATGCTGCACTTCCCCATCAATTTTATAACGAACAGTTCAAACAATCCCCATCCAACACAATAAAGAAGACAAAGATGGGATCCAAAACCTATGAAGAAGAAATCCTAACTGATGTCAGCTAGAGAGAAGACTAGAGATATTAATAACCCAAGACCAACTAACTAGGACTAGATACAATAGACCCATAACCGTTTATTAACAAACCCATAGCAACACTATTATACAAACTTTCTCCCAGTTTCTCTTTGTCTTGAACCTCTTCCCACGAAAAAAACACCCAGTTTGCTACGTATGACTTTGAAAGATTAGGGAGAAAAGGGTTTTGTGGGCACATCTGCCACTTGCTCAATACAAGGAACATATGATTCACAATAAGCTTCCCAGCAAGCACTTTCTCACGCACAAAATGGAAATTAATCTCAACATGCTTAATGTGAGCATGATTAGTTGGATTAGAAGCCGTTGATACTGTAGACGTGTTATCACACCAGACAATTGGCTTGCTTAGCAGAGGCAGACCAACTTCCAAGAGCAGTGTTCCACCTAAACAAGTTCAAAAACAACATTCACTAAACTGCGATACTCGGCTTCAAGAGACGAGCGGGAGACAACACCTTGTTTCTTGGAGCTCCAGGCAACATGATTGGAGCCAAGAAAATGCAGTATCCAGTCGTTGATTTCCTATTTTCTACAGATGATCCCCAATCAGCATCTGAATAGAAACAAGATTAAATGCACCAGCGGCTTTAAAAAACAGAACATGGTCTAAAGTCCCAGACAGATAGTGAAGTATCCTTTTGATTGCCCGCCAATAAACCTCATAAGGATCATTCATGTATTAACTTACCTTATTAACAAGGTAGCATTGTCGGGCCTTGTCAAGCAAATATATTTCAAACCTGAAATTATACTCCTGTACAACTGTATATTAGAAAATTCTAGTCCATCTCTAGTATGCAACTTAGAGACAACTTTCATAGGGGTGGGAGTGGGCCCTACCAAAAGCATATTAGGCAAGTCAACAATATATCTCCTTTGCTTCAAGAACAGATCTTGAGAACACTGTTGCACTTTTATGCTAAGAAAGAGTTCAGGTTCTCCGAAGTCTTTGAAAGCAAACTTAGAGTTCATCTACTGCAGAACTTCATCAACCTTGGCAGAACTTCATTTGATGATAATATCATCAATATAGACCATGAGGGGCAATTTTGAATCAACAATATTCTTAAAAAACAATGAGGTGTCAGCACCTGAGGCAACAACCCGTATTTTAGTGACCAAAAATGTCTTAAGAGTATTGAATCAAGCACGAAGGGCCTGCTTGATCCCATATAGGGATTTTTTTAAACCTACAACCAACTTTTCACCTGAGGGCTCAACCTGCTCAAAACCTGGGGGATGACACGTATAAATTTATTCAGAAAGCTCACCGTTCAAAAGTACATTGTTGATATCAACTTGCCTAATGCACCATTTCTTGAGAACAACAACTAAAAGAATGGTCCTAATAGTGTTTGCCGAAACTACATGACTGAAAGTTTCCTTGAAATCATTTCCTATCTTCTGAGAAAAACCCTTGGCAATTAAACTGGCCTTAAACCTTCAACACTTCCATCATGTTTTTTCTTAATCTTGAATAGTCATTTACACCCTATAGGTTTACGATCATGAGGTAAGACTTATAAAGATCACGTTCCATTCCAAAGAAGAGCCTCATACTCAGCTTGAATGTCATTGGACCAAGCATGATGTTGAAAAGGCTGAAAGACATCAATACGTTCTGAGTCGTTGCCTTTAGTGCTAAACACCTTAGGCTTGAAAATACTAGATTTCTCTCTATTAGTCATAGGATACACATTAGTAACAAAAAAAGGCAGTTTAAGCTTGTATAAACCCCCAACTTCATGTCCTTCCAGTATAACCTTATTTGAACTAATATCCCTCACTTGACAGTAAGTGAGAAAGAACTCGAGTAACATTTTGTTGTCTTGATTAAATTTAGATACAAATAATGGAACACCCCAAATCTAAAACCCTAAAAATTAGGAATTTTCCTTTGAATCTCTAAAATCAATTCTAATGATTAAATTGATTTTTAAAAAATTTAGTGACCATCCTGTAAAATAAATAAATTTTGGGCCTTTCGTAAACCTTAAAGAGTTTGGGGATTTAAGGTATGATTAACCAATTTTAATTTGAAACAAATTCTATCCTCTCTATTATTTAACGAGCGGCGTCAGGGTCTCCATATTCCTTTATTTCTTCTCGCCCCTACTGTCATCCTCATTCCTCTAATCACGTCACACCGCCATTTTAGATAAAGTAGGTCACCGATCAGCGTCCCAATCACTGATTCAATACATTCACCAATCTCCGTGATTATGCTTCGTTTGTAGAGTGTGAAGGGCAGATTGGAAAGACGTATTCAGGCGATCACCTTACTCGGATGGGTTTGAGATGACGAGAAGTCTTCATTTCATAGTTCAATTATTAAATAGTGCCCATAGACAAGCAAAGGACCCTAAAACCTTCTCGTAATCAATTCGGCTACGACAAGTGATGAGAAAATAATCATTCTCCATATCCAATGATACGAAGGGCTTGAGTTGGCTTCCATAGATCATAGATTCTATTGCGCAAAGCGTTATATCTGATACAGCGACAGTTTGTCTCAGGCTTCTGACAACGAGATCATGAACTTGCTCTAAAAAATCAATTGAGAATAATCCATCGATCATGCTTCGTTCAACGTCTCCGTCAAGAATCTTAATATCCCCTTCTTCCAAATTAATATCGTTGACTTGCGTGGAAGGGTTGGAACCAACCATTAATTTATCTCTTTAAAAGCTGCTTTCAACCAGGATTACATCTACGTTCATCGTTGAATCATCAATCTCTGAAAGATCATCCGACGGCTTATCTCTTGTTGCTTCTATTTTCAATAGTGATAATAGGAATTTCAACCTTTCAATTAAAAAAATTTAATGCAAAATTTTAAATTAAATGAGATGTCATAATTTCCAAAGTTTATCAAAGAAAATACAAAATATCCTTTTACACAAATTATTTTTAAAAAATAAATTAATAGTATACTATAAAATAAAGAATTTTTAAGTCGATTTGAAAATCTCTACGTTTATTCTTATTCACCCTATATCCTAGATTTTCGTTTTCTTTTATAAAATTTTTCTTTTAATATGTTTTCTTTAACTGATCGTTTTATGAAAGAAATTTGTTCCGTTCCGAAATCCTAAATTGATTTTTTGTTTGAAACCCTAAATTGATAAATTGGGTAACGAGAGAAAGATACATTTGTAACATATTTTATTATTTTATGCACTTAATTTGTATCATTTGAAACCTAAACCAATGAGGCTTGATTCTAAATCAAAATTTTATTTTTCATGATAAGAAGTAATTGAAGGTTTTAAAAGATTTTGTTACAAAA